AAGCTGAGTGCTTTGAGTTAACAGATGTTGTAGTTAGGACTCAGAATGAGTATCTCAGATACTCAGTAGTGTAACTGCAACCAGAACTTGGCCTGTTATTTCTAACAGAAGTTATCTAGGAGCCATACCGGTGGCTATCCCAGTAGCTGCAGGCTAATTTTCTGTGGACAATTCAGCTAACAGCATGAGCAGTAAATCAGTTTAAGTGCTGATATTTGTATCACTACTGTAGTTCTCAGAGTCAGCAACCTTCGGAACAGAGCAAGAGGGCTCCCACAGTCTGAGCTGAAAAATGGGTTCCTACACAATTCAGCTTCCTAAAGCAGCGGCAATCTAGGGGAGTGAAAGTGAGCAACTAGTGTCAGTTGGTAGGATAATTGCTGGGCGACAACAAAGAAGGGAAGAGGACCTCCCACTTTTGGCAGTGGAAAGGTGCTAACTAGTTATATGTGTAATGGGAAGCTCCACCTTCAGAGCTTTCCATATTTGATACAAGTCTTCAGGATTTTCTTCAGATGCCATGGCACAGAACATGTATTGCCTTAGTCATACATAAACATTTGTAATTCAGTACATCCTTGCATCTGAATCCTCTTAGCCCTTACATGATTAGGGAAGCAAGGACTCCAGAATTTGCTAGTAGAATGAACCAGCCTGTGCATCACAGCAGGGTGTAGTCAAAGAAGGTGTTTAGTAGGTCACTTGTGCTTACATGCTGCTGTCACAGCAAATGCAGGCCAGGCACATTGTGCCAGCTGGGGCTTAATGGCCCATAATCCTTAGAAGGTTCACTGAGCTGATACCAAACTGTCATGCGCATTCGCTCTTTTAGCCTGTGTTGAACACACCTGCTCTGTCTGGCAGAATTCCTCAAGCAGAAGATGCTCTGGGAAATGTTCTTCCTCAGGGCAGGCAGTATTTAGCTCTTAAGTTTTTATGTAACCAGAAACTCTGTCTCAATTTCTGTTTTAAAGTCATACCCTGTCTTAGACCTGACACTTGCCTTGCTTGTTGCTTGTACTAGAAAAATGAATCTCAGATCACTTTAAGTTTCCTGTACTATTATTTTGTGTCCTGTGTCTTTTAAGCAATCTGAGAGTAATGCTGGAAGTTTAGAAGTATTTCATCAGCTTAAGCTTTCTTAATGAACACAACAGCATTGCTAGGTGGTGACAGTGATGTATAGCTCAGCTTGATTTATTACTTCATAAGTACGGGCAGTGTCTTTAATTCAGCATATGTCAGGTATAAACACAGTGCCTGTTCTGAGTAGACAGCCTCACTTTATGATCCTGACACCGAATCCATGTAGGTAGATCTTTATTCTGTCCAGAAATGCAGTAAAACTAGCAGAGTTCTGCAAGGGCCAGTGTGATTGCAGGCTGGTGCCTGGAAGATAGGTGGGCAGAGATCAACCCTGCCAGTCATTTTGTAATCGGTTTGGGCAAGTGTCTGGATTTTGTGCTAGACTGAAACTCCCACCCCAGCAAACCTTTGCCCATGCTCAGGGTCAGCGGGCCAGTGACCCACAGGAGGGCTGCCCTGAGGGCAGCTGTGGGGATCCCACCAGTCCTCCTCATCCCAATTCCATGGTAAGAAGTCAAATCCTGCACTACCAGTCTCACTTCTGAAACATTCCTAGGAGATCTCTGCCAAGGCCATCCATCTCATGGCTGGAATTACCAGTGTGCAGGAAAACACACCCCTAAAGCAAGAGTTTCTCAGGTGTTTCTGAAGAGGTCTGACTTGAACCAACAAACACTCCCAGCTGTAGGTGACAGTTTGATACCTTCCTCTCGTTATTTGTCTTTAGTCCCTTAGAGAAAGCAATCCACCATTTGCTCTCTTGAATGTTTTTAATTAACAAAACTAAATTTTGGCTAATACTGGATTCTTTCAATCCAAGTAAACCAGCTTAAAATATAAAATAAGCTGAGGCTCTGGCAAACGCATTCAGGTCAGCCCTCACTAGATAAATTGTGTAACTTTGGTAAGGCTAGTCTCAAACCTGGATCACAGTGCATAATGTATTAAAAAATATTGGGAGAACTCCAGCAGCCAGTATTAAGTGGGTAGTTGTAATTCCTGTGGGATAAAAAATGATAAAGAAACAAAAAGCTTTAATCCTCCACAAATTCATCTAACATTTAATCTAGCTACTAACCAGATGATAATTTCTTTCTCAAGCAGTCTTAATTATTCTTCATTCTCCTAATTAGGACTATAAATCTAAGGGAGAAAGTGGAAATCATCAGCTATTAAATTAATATTTCTTAATAAAGCTACAGCTCACAAGTGACATGCATATTCAGAGCTCTGCAGGAGCCCACGGTGTGGATTTCACATTCACACAGCAGGTCAGAACACAATCATCACACTCTTGTAGCACCTTTAATGTGATCCTTTCAAATCACAAAACAAAGATGATTTTATGCTAATGAAGCCTTTAACAATCTGGCATAAGCAGAATTCCCTTATGAAGCATAATAAGGCAGTTACCACTGCACCTCTCCAGTGCTTCACCCCTCCTATGAACATCCTCTCCATTGTCCAAGCTCCAGCTCCATCCAGCTGTTCTTCAGTTACTCCTCTATGTTGGCCAAGCCCTGGGGCTCAGGCAGACAGACAGCTGTGTCTGCATCTGATAGGAAAGGGATGCGTAGCTGGCTCTTGTCTGTGTGTTGCTTTGGCTATCATCAGCTTTATGGATGATTTGCAGAAATAACCCAATGCTTTGTGCTGTTGTTACCGGGGTGAAAGCTCTGTTGATGGCAGCACAGCACTGCTTACAGTTGTGTAGTGAGTGTTCAATCACTAACCACATCACTACTCTGTGCCTTAAATGTCTTAAGCTAAACCATTCCAATTAAATGAAAATGCATACAAAGGGACTGCATTAATTTAACTAAACCTTGTTAACTTATGATGGCTTCGTTATATAGAAAGAGGGACTAGATGACCTTTAATTGCCCCTTCCAGTCCAAACCATTCTGTGATTCTATATGGCCAAAGCTGCTCCCTCTGCTATCACATGGCTGTAGCATATAGCCATCATAATACCTGGGGCTCTTAAGCAGGACTAGCAAAATGGAAGGAGATGTGTGTACAGCACAGCTGGTGTAGGCTGTTATCCCATGGGAATGCCAGGTAGCAGATCAGACTGCAAGGGGTAGGTAATCAGAACTGCATCACCTCGCTGCGGCAAGGGAAGGCCAGGGCAATTAATGAAGAGTAACTGAAGCGCTGCTCATCGACCTCCTGTCTTGCCTGGTAGTAATTTGTCTGTGTAGGACTAGTTTGCCCTACGGCAACAGCCTTACCAAAATGACATGTGATGCCTTTATGTGGCTTGTCTGCTCTCAGCAGACCAAAAAACCCTCTCATTTTCAGTCTTCTATTTCAATCATCAGACGATACTACTACCCTTTAATTAAAATTCTTCTCCCGCTGCTTTACCCTGAAAAAGTTAATTATTATCCCTTTGTAGCACCTGGTCTCAGTGCCTGATGTTACTGAAACAGAATCTATCTCATCATTTTAAATGTGGCCATAATGTCACATTATGATCACTTAAAACAGCAATAGAATTGTTTTTCCTAAGCCAGTGCTGCACAGTGTGCTCTTGCTGCAATGCCGTCAGCAGCAAGTGTATGTGCTCCTGCAAAGAGGAAAGCAGGGCTAGAAAATGATTCAGTGCCGCATGCATTTCACCATCTATATATCTATATATATTAATTCTCTTTGAAATGTGGACTTTTCACTAACCCTTTTGTGTTGTCCTGGCTTGGGGGTTGAGGACTTGGAATAAAAGGTCTTTTGGATGAAGAATTCAGGAGTTTCTCCTTGCTTAAATATCTGTACATGAAAGCATATAATTGGGTCACAGGCTGTCACTGTCTTCTGCCCATGGGTTTAGAAGCTTTGGGCTGCAAATAAATTAGTTCTAAAAATGATCCTATTAGAATCATCACGCAAATCTTGATTCCCAAATGCTGCCTGGAAATACGTGAGGTTTTAGCTTTTTTCCTCAATTATACCACGATTCCTCTTTGAAGCCTGTAGAGGGTGTGCTCTCCATTTCAAATTCAGATTGAATGTCTTTCTGCGAAGCAGTAATCTAGCTCAAAAGGAAGTTACAAATTAGCTCCAGATATTATTGGGTGAAATGCTGTGGACTGTGATACTCAGAAAGTCAGTAAAGGTTACAAGTGTCCCTTTGGAATTAAACATCTTTTGGTCTCACTGCAGATCTCCTGGTTTATGGTCATTGTCTTCCTCTGTAGCTATAAGCAAAGCTGAAGCTGTGGCTTCACCTCAGTCTTTTGTTCTGAAGCCTCAGAACCATACCAAAAGAAAATTTAGCCAAGAGTGGACATGTCTAATCTCACTTCTTTTAATCAGGAATGGGATCCTCTTTTTGAAAAGCAAACTGTTCTTGACCAAACCACTGCAAAGGCTACACCACCTCCAGTTTTAGTCATGCTTTCATCAGGAGGTATTACAGTTTGTGAATTATCTCACAGGAGTACTTGAAGTCCCAAAGTAGATTACAGCACCCAGGGGTTTCAGGAATACGTCTGTGAACACTGACTCTGTCTTAAACAGCTCATTATCTATGTAGGAAAGACAAAATATGGAATAAAGGAATACTCTTCTCCCCAGTTAGTGCATGGGGAAGGGAATGACAGCAATTATGTGGCCTCAGTTACAACATGGAGACTGCTGCAAAGGCAGAAACTGAAATGAGAGCTCCTGGGTCTCACTCCAGATATTTAGAAGCAAATCCCAAAACTTTGTAAGGAACTGTTTCTCTATTAAGCTTTGCTCAGTCAGGTACAGCTGTATAGCATGAGTAGGAGAGAGGGACAGTCTTCTGCACCCATCCTGCCCTTGCTCTCTAGGAGGGTAAATAACTGATTTACCTCGGGAGATCCAAGACACAGTAAACAGAAGTTGTTCTCAGTTCCATATAAATTATTCTCCTATTTGTTCATTTTTAGGAACATGTTTCCAGCCAATCTTGTTGAGGCCACATTCAAGCAGGTAAGTGGCTATATTCCTTTTACAACTGATGAAAGAGATGACCCAGCATCACATAAATTCATGTATCTTTGTAATACAGAATCCAGATACAGACGCTGCATATTTACTTCAGCTACTGTTAGTACCTTCAGCATTTAGGAATTAAGTCCCTTTCCATTAGCCTCACCAGCCTTGGTACCTGAAGGCATAACAAACAAGCATGAAATGCACAGTTTGACTAGAGAGTGGACACCCACACCTATGTCAGCTCCACCTCCCCCCTGAGCCCAGGTCTTTGAGGACCTTGAGAAAGAACAATTTATGACAGTATGAGCATGCTTTCTCTCAACATCAGACTGCAGTCACAGGGTAGCTGGAATCTCTTTAAGAGAATCTGGTCAGAAAACCTCATCTAAAAGTTCTGAGTGAGGAAGAGGCATAGTTACCTTTACTTCATGGTTACCTTTACTGGGGGAATATTTCATGGGAACCTTATCTCTGATGAGACAAAGAGAATTTATAGTTCTCTTACAGCACTCCTAAGGAGTAATTCCTGATTATGTCTAAAAGGAAAGTAGCTTTACCAGGAGATGATGTGCTTCCTGCATAAAAGTCTGATTATAGGAAACTTTTTTATGGTTTTCCAAAAATTCAACTGTTTTTACAGATTTTAGCAGCATAGGGACAGGAGCTGTCATTCTTGTTTTCATGCTTGTCCCTCTAAAAGGCAGCCTTGTAGGAACAGAACACTTAGGAGATCTCATTAAGCTATTAATTCCTGCTGGGATATTATAATAAAAGCTATTTTGTTTTCTTTCAGTATCGCACCAAAAGTATTCCCATCATTAAATCTAGCAAAGCATCATCTGAAAGCACCACTCGTCGCATTATAATATATGGAGTCCAGGATGAGAATGGATCCAATGTCCAGAATTTTGCCTTGGATATCACTCCCCCTCCTGAAGTGATTTACAAATCAGAGCCAGGCACTAGTGATGGCATGAATGTGCTGGGGATTGTGATATTCTCTGCCACAATGGGTAGGTTTCAGACATTTTTGGTTTATAATCATCCAAGTATCCATTTAAGAGAAAAAGACAACGGGTTCAGGTTTGATTTCTCAATTCACCTTCTATCTAAACTTCACAGGGAAAAAGGCAAAACTGCAGAGCTGTTCTCCTAAACTGTCAATGATAAATGTTCAGAATCCTTGATGATTTTTGTTCCATTCAGGTCTGTTTTCTGTGCATGCACGTACATTCTTTCTGCTTTAATTCTTTTTGCTTTAATTCTTTTCTGGATTTTTTTTAGCTTTTATTTATGACCCATTTTTTCCTGATGGTAAGAAAAGCCACAATAGACTGTGCTCAGAAGAGACAGGAATCTATACCAGGTCAGACCCATGGCCCCTCTTCCGGTATTCTGTTTCACTCTCCAGACAGCAGCAAAAATCCTAGATAAAGTTTCAAGACATTCTGAAGTAAACAAGTCCATAGCAGACTGTTCTCAAAGCCCAAGAAGTCAGTATGCTTCTAATGTCCAGAGCTCCAGGTGTGGTATGACAGGAATAAAGAACCTCCTGCACTGCTCTTGCTTCCAGGGGCATCAGGCTGAGACACCCTCTCATGGCTGTCCTGGCTGGATGTATCATCCATGCAGGCCAAGCAAAACCTGTTCCCAGATCAAGTCCTTGGCCAAAGTTCCTCTCACCAGGCAGAAAATTACTTTAGCCCTAGAACCTGCTATCTGTTGTTCTTACCCATCCTTAGTCACATTTTGCCACATGATTAGTGGAGAGTATAACTGCCACTGTCAGAACCCAACTCAGGTAATGAGCCTCAGTAACATCTTTACTGTGAGGGTGGTGGGATACTGGCACAGGTGAAGCAGGGAAGCTGCGGCTGCCCCATCCCTGGCAGTGTTCAAGGCCAGGCTGGAACAGGCTTGGAGCAACCTTGTCTAGTGGAAGGTGTCCCTGCCCTTGGAAGGAGGGTGGAACAAGATGATCCTTAAGATCCCTTCCAACCCAAACCATTCTAGGATTCTATGACCTTGAATAAGTGAGCTACAAAAGTGTATTGTTATATCAGATTTTATTTTTGCCATCCTGCAATGCTGTTAGTTATATACTATCTAGTAGCTTACCACAGTGGACTCTCAGAACTTCTGCCTGGGTGACTGATTCAGTTTAACTTGCTGGAGGCACATATTGGTGCCATGTGTGTTACATTATGTTTGTGGATTTGGAATAGGAAATTTTAACAAACATGCACTAGTTAATAATAAAGTTCTGATCAAATTTGCGTTATCTAAATGTATACCTGGAAGTTAATCTGCTCAGTAAAGGTAGTTCCACAAAACATCTCTGTGTTTATTATATTATGGTTCATACCAGCACAAGGGGCCAAAAGTCAAGCCCGGAATTAGCAGATTTTCCTCTTTTTTTGGTTTCTCCAGTGGGTGGTGTTCCATTTGCAACATGGCTGGAAACTGGCTGTTGCCCAGTTTGTAGTATATTACCCATAGTACACTGTCACAGCAAACACTATTGCAGTCAAAAAATTACTGGATATGAATGAATTCATTACATGTGCTTACTAGGATCAAGGGCAGTTTTATACTTCTGAACACAGATCATCCATTGTCTTCCCAGAACTGAATGTATTACTTTTACCATGCCCCTAAGTCTTGCTGGCCTGGGGCTCAATGGATGGGAGCTGAGAGCTGGTTTCTTCCTGGCTGAGGTACAGCAAATGACCTGCTGGTACTGCCACGTGTGACTGTATCAGTCACTAACAAACCTGAGACACTAAACCCTCAACACTTGTCATCTACCTGTGGTTATTTCAGTCTGTCATTCTGAACAAGGGATGCAGCCAAGCATTTGTCACTGTCTTCAGCTTTTTGCACCAAAAGAAATGGAAGCAATGAAACAGAAGACATGTGGCTTCAATCTATAAAATAGGAGCATCCTTCAAAAGTGTTTATTTGTTGCAAAAAAAAAAAAGAAAAGCATGCAAGTCTTGTTGCTTTGTAACAGTTTTGCTCACTTTGGCCGAGTCTTATTTTCACAGAAGTCTTTTTATACCATTTTGGGCATAGAAAAACAGCATTCAGGGTGGGTATGAGTTCTTATTACAGTTTCTTTAAGGTCCTTGAACAGCATAAGAATAGCATAAAGGGACAAGAGTTTAGATTTGAGCTAACTCTTTCCCTGAAGCATGAGGTGAATTGCTTAGTCACCTCAGTCCAAGAATAAATCTTCTGCCATGCATGCATTAAAATGGGCAAAGTCTGATAGAGGGAGTGTGAGGTCAAGACCCATGTAAAGCCTTGATGCTATATGACTACCTATAATATCTCTTCTCACACAGTGTGCAGGAATTTCTGTTAGATATTATGGCAGTGGCCAAGCACTGGGACATCTGATCATGTTTTCTTGGAGCATCACACATTATTTATTCATTACAAGGCACATAACTTGGTGCATCAGGGCTGCAGACAGGAGGCCCTAGTCCTGCCCCACCAATAGCCACAGGCATAGGTAGGACAGTATTTTAAAGAGCAAATTGCAATTATTCCTGTAAAATGAAAAAGAAGATATTTTATTGCTTTTGACATTATACAGAATTAGAAGATAAGACTCATAAAACTGCCACCAACCAGGCTAGAGGAGCTGAACTGTATTTAATATCCTAGTGCGAATGATGAGCAAATTGCTCAATAAAAGTGTTGTTTTCTGACCTAAGAGTTGTAGCTTAGATGAATGCTAACAGGCTTACAAACTCACATCTTGAATGCACTGCTATTGTGAAATCCCTGGATGGGAGAGCTGAAAGTCTCCCTCCCTGCCTCAGGAGGGAATTGCCCTGGAAGCAGTGCTGCCAGAGCCGTGGCTCCACATGCAGATGTGGGCTCCAAGGAACAGAGCCTGGGCTCTGCTCAGAGCAAGGACACTGCATACCCAGAGCAAGTGGCAGCATGCACCACACTCATAGCCCCCTCCTTCCTCATGGAACCCCCTTCAAAGGCAGGCTCACTTGGGGCAGATAGTTTTGGAAGTTCTTCTTTGGGCAATTAACTCAATTACTTATAATCCTTTCAGGGAGGGATGGCAGAAAATTAACATAGGAAAATGAGTTCTATTTGTATGAATTATTGGAGACTAAGACCATCTGGAGAATGTATGGTTAGATGACACATCCCAGAGCTGTTTTCCTTTCCTTTCTGAGCACTGGGTGCACATAAATGGGTTTTCTTTGCTTTCATCTTCGCTAGTTAGTCAATATAGCAATTTGGCTTTTCTTCCCATGGATTTGAATTTCCTTATCTTCCCCAAGTTTCCAAAGCCTGACTGATTATGAGGGCTGTTTTTTATTGTGCAGACAGATAAGTACTAAAAATAAGATGGGGAGTCCCTTACTAACAGACTAAACCCCAAATACTGGATTAGCCCCATGAGTGTCTCATGGATGCTGCCCAGTTGTACACAGCACACAGCAGTAAGGCACACTGCAGGCAAACAGAACTTCCTTCACTAGAAAATGTCTCTCAGTTTGTCTTCCATGGATCAACCTGATTTAGTGTGAGGTGTCCCTGCCCATGACAGGAGGTTGGAACTAGATGAATTTTAAGGTCCCTCCCAACCCAAACCATTCTATGGTTCTATGATTCTTTGATCCCTCAGAGCAGGTAAATTCTTCTCAGGGCTCTATGAAAGACAGCTAAGGAAACAGGCTATCAGGGGAGCTAAATCTACAGCACAAAAGTTTGTGCTTCCACAGGGAAACCTTCAGACAACTATAGATAAAAAGCCGCCCAGCTAGGGGAGAGATCCCTGTATAGGGCAAAGCACAAAGCATGTGGCCTGGCTCTCCCACGCTCTTGTGTAAAGTGAGATTTTCAGATACCATATCTCCTTATACATCATGAAGATCTATGTTCTTCCAGTCATCTCTCATTTAGTTGAGTCTGAGTTACAGCAGGGAGGGGAATGCACTGGGGCTTTGCATGAAGGCACCTGAGAAACTGAACCTGAATGCCTTTGATTGCAGGTATAATGTTGGGAAGAATGGGGAACAGTGGGGTTCCTTTGGTCAGCTTTTGCCAGTGTTTAAACGAATCTGTCATGAAGATCGTGGCAGTTGCTGTTTGGTAAGTAACTGTTCTAGTAAGAAAATCAGTATCATTTTTAAAAGAGTAAGGATGTCAGTATCTTTTTAAAAAAGAGTAAGAAAAATTCAATAGAAGAAGATGCACAGAAATCTCATAAACTTATTTCTGAGAAAGGAGGACCTTAGCTTTGCGGGGAATGAGATTTTGAAGGAAGATACACACACACATCCTCACCCTGGCTTGTACTGTCATTTTGACAGAGGCACCCTATGTATTACACCCAAATAATGGAACATGATATAGCTGGGTGTGTATGTGCTGTATGCACCAGGGGCACTGCCAGTTCTTGGCTAGACCTGCCAATCCACCTGCCCCAAAGATCAGAGGAATAGTAGGTGACTGCCAGTAACAAAAACTGGAGCTTAGCACCTTCCCCACACTGCAGAAGGTTCCCCAGTGTTGCTTAGCTTGACATGGAGGTAATCCCATTACCAGCACGAAGCCTTTGTTTCCAGGTACCTGGTCCAGTCTGACTAAGCTGGCTCAGGGAATGATCACTTGTTTAGATGGGTCCAAAGGAGTAGTTATTTCTGGAAGAATGAGGGGGAATTCTCTGGAGATGGCACAGCTGCAAGTGGAAGATGGCTGGATGCTTCCAGATTATTATTATTATTGTTTTAATCTTAGTCTCTTTCAGCACCCATTGCTTTGGTTTAGGTGTGCACAGGAGTGCAACAGTTTTGATAAGGCACCTATCCCACATCCAGTACTGAGGGGGTCCAGAAACTAACTGTTCTTATGCCTGTCTTGCCCAAATCTAAGCTCCCAGGCAGCCCAGGAGCATGTCTAATGCATGTTGGTGTTTCTCCTGTCTTCCAAAGGCTACATAAACATTTGCTTAACAGCTTCCAACTAAAATCCATGAAGAGTTACATGAGCACAAGTGCATGCACAGAGCTTAGGATTCATTTCCCCTCTCCCTAGTAAATGCCTAAAGCTGGAAAGTCAGAGCTGCCTTCTGAACCAAAACATTTTAAAGTCATTCCTAACCAGCACCATAATGTCAGGTGTGCTGAGGAGTACTCCACATAGAAGATTGTTTAGTCCAGTGCTTTGGGCATGCTCCTCAAGTGTGAGAGGGGCTTAGGTTGATAAAACAACAGAATCCAGCTGTGCAGCTTCCAGACAGGCTGCTGTGACTGTATTGCTACTGGAAGGATTTCCCAGCTCATACTGTTTGATGGAAGGGAGCTATCTCCTAATAATGACTGCCTTTCTTTTTCTCAGGTATTTCCCATTTGGAATTGTGTTCCTAATTGCTGGTAAAATCTTGGAAATGGATGACCCTTCAGCCATTGGGAAGAAACTGGGTTTCTATGCCATTACGGTGGTGTGCGGCCTGGTGGTGCATGGCCTGTTTATTCTGCCAATGATGTACTTCTTTATCACCAAGAAGAATCCCATTGTTTTCATCAGAGGGATTCTTCAAGCCTTGCTTATTGCTCTGGCCACATCCTCCAGGTATTGCACAGTTTCTAGACATATACAATATAATACTTACAATCATAGAACCATAGAACGGTTTGGGTTGGAAAGGATCTTAAGATCATTCAGTTCCAACCCCCTGCCATGGGCAGGGACACCTCACACTAGACCACGTCATCCAAGGCTCTGTCCAACCTGGCCTTAAACACTCCCAGGGATGGAGCATTTACAACTTCTTTGGGCACCTTGTTCCAGTGCCTCCCCACCCTCACAGTAAAGAACTTCTTCCTTACATCTAATTTGAACTGCCTCTGTTTAAGTTTAAACCCAGTACCCCTCATCCTATTGCTGCAGTCCATGATGAAGAGTTCTTCTTCTTACTAGATCATTACTACAGCTTTGTCTTGAGACAAGCACACTAGAGCTGTACTGGAGCAGGTATATTTATATCTATCTGAACAATGACCTGTGTCCAACTCACTGGCATAATTTTAAAAGATGTGTCTCTCAACATTTGGAAGTTATGTGGAGCCATTTCACAATAATGTTTGTCACATTGTTTTCCCTTAATTTCAAAAATATTGGACAAAAATGGTTTTTCTTAAAGGACTAGAAAGGAAATAATGTTGGGGTTTTGTTTTCATAAAACAAACATGCTTCTACAAAGTCAATATATATAAGGGACACCCAGTTTGTCCAGCCTTCATCCTTGGTTTTAGTGAAGAACCTCCTAGTTCAGTCATATGGAAACATTTTACCCCTTCTACTCATCTTAGTCTTTGTTTCTTGGTACATAAAGGAAAGGCTGTGGTTGCAAACTATTGTCCAGCACTGGGAAAGTATTTAGCTGTTCTGCTCAAGGAATAGTATTTTTTGCATCCTTTTCAGGGAGGATGTACAAGTTTTAACCATAGCCGAACAAAGGTACAGTGAAAATGGGAAACAGCTTGTGAACTGGTTATGAAAATGACTCCTAACCAGGTAGACTGGTGCATGAGAAAAAAAATCATGTGCTGGGTGGTGTTTTAACCTCTAATTAGGCTTATCTAATTAAGGCAAGCTTTTTTATTAGAGCATAAACAGGTTACAGCTTGAGATGTTGTCACATCCCCAGATTCAAATAAGATGCCAATTTTGCGCTCAGAGATGTTGGTGCTGGAAGAAGCTCTCACCAGGTTCACATTTGACACACTTGACTATCTGCCCTGCTCCTCTAACAATTCTGTTTCTGAAGAATTCTTTTGCTGACAACTCTGGGTTTTTAACCTGTGCTATTCCATTCATTCTCTTTTTTTTTTTGGAACAAGAGAATTTTTCTTTAAAATCTAATCTGAATTTTCTTCTTTGTAGGAAAAAAAAGAGAGAGAAATTTGCTCCTCAGTTTACCTTTAGCATGTGTAGAAGTGTTTGTCCTTTTCTGTTAATAAGCAATAAAAATAACCAACTTTTTCACCAGCGTACATCCCTTTATCAAGGGGGGTTTAATCAAGACTTGACAGATCAGCACATATTCACCATTTCAAAACCAGATTACTATTCTTAATTTTCCTTATGTTGCATCAGCACCGCATTTTGATTTCATAACCGATTTACTAGTCCTTTAGTGGTCTGGACATTTTCAGAGCTTGTGCTATTTTAAGTAGTGATCTCCCCCTCCTATCAAGGCAGTTCATTGTTTCTTCATTGGATTTCATCTCCTTAACTCTGTGGCTCGCTCTGAGAGTATCCAGCCACTTTACAATCATGAAATGCCCTTTTTACAATTGATAATATATTCAGGTCTAGGTTGCTCATGGTATATTTTGAGGTTAGAAATGTTCCAATGCCAGTATCATCAATCAAAGCAATAAAATAAGGCAGACACAATATGTAGTCACCACAGCACACAACCAGATCTACAAAGGGATGCAGGGCTTTGATTCCCTGTTCTACATGAGTGCCTAAGTTGTATTACTACTTGCAGGAAGTCCAACCCTGGAGAAGTTTTAGATCAGGTTTTTTTTTCTCTCATTTGCTTTCAGCAACATAAGGAAAGAACATGCACACTCTGTAGCAAATGTGAGCTACCTCCTTTAAAAGACCCGCATATCACACAGTGATCATCATTGCAAAGCTTAACCTGTAGGCAACTTTCAACCACATAGGATGCCTATAGTTCATCTTGGAACTCAGCTCCTCTTTGGGAGAGGTGAGCTCCTAGGAAAGAGCCCCAAAAGCCAGCATGGCAAGGAGAGCTTGGCAGGCATCAGGCATAGATATAAAGCAAAAACCTCAACCTACAGGACTGATGAGATCGCTGTCTCTCCCTGCTGAGTCTCTTCAATATAAATCAGTCCTTACTTGAGTTTTTCTCCAGCCCCAAGCTGATGTGAGAGTACCCACTGACAGTGGGGAACACATAGAAAATTCAGTTTTCTCTTAAAGCTATGCTGAATTTGACTTTCCTGAACTCCCAGTCCCAGGAAAGCTCCTGTTCTGTAGCAAATACTTTGATACAGTGCTCTCTCCCATTCACTGTGAAGGGAAGAATTCCATATTTATAGGCCCAGAGAGTGATGTAGTTTGGGATCACAGCTCTGGCACCAGCTGGTAGCTCAGCCTGTCAGAATCACCACCAGGTAGGACTTCCTACCAGATTTAGTATCTTTATTATCAGAAGCTATTGTACCACCAAAGTTAAGGTGAATCCTGAGGAAAGGCTCTGAACTTACAGATTTGGGGCTTGGACACATTTGATGGATTTAGCTCTATCTGCCCCTTCTTAAGAGTGTGTATATTTTGCATATCCAGCATAGGCCCAACGTGGTATTTAATGTTCTTCTGCTCAAATAGCAGTGCCTTGTCTAGAGATAGCTGAACTTTTCACCTTCGTTACACTCGAAGGAATGGATACTGCACATAACTGAGCTGTTGCCAAAAGAACATGTACAAATCACTGGGACTGGACAGGAGAGCTATTTCTCCTGACAGTCAACACATCTGTATTTGGTTAAATAATACTTACCACAGGGGCATTATATAACACTCATAATGTGGGTACTGGATTTTCAGATTGTCCTGAAGAAGAGCAGAAAGTTGGGTTTAAGCAAACTGGTGTGTTTCTTGGAGATGTTTATGTGTCAATTCATGACTACCTCTAAAGATAGAAAGAAAACCTGATGAGTATCAGTGTCCTGATACTCATTACAGCTATTTTGTACCTGTGGGGAGCTTTCTTTTTAAGCTAAAAGTCAAACTGCAGGAATCAAAAACAACACCATGAACAAAATCCAAGAATATAGCACAAGGGAACTTGAAAGCCACCAAGCAGCCATCTCCTACTAATGATTTCATTGAATCTGAACATTAATTTGAACCCATTTCCTTTTAGTGAAAGGTTTTGCACCGCATTATCAATCCCCTTATATTTCTCCAGCAACCTCTATCACAGCAGTATTTCAGTTTGCACAGACATTACTGGAGAGGCAGGGACAGAGAAGTTCTCTTATTCTTTTGGTGCATCATTTAGGATGCAATGAAGTAAATCTGTATGACTAGCACCAAGTCCCTGCACCAGTCACCTGGCTAGCCAGCCCTTGAAGCCAGACCCTTGGCCCCAGTTCAGGCTGGCAACAGGCAACCACAGCAATGTTGGCAGCTCCTCTTCACTACAGCAGTAAGGTGTGTACAACACATGCTGTCATTGCCCACCTTGCCCTGCTCTGTGGTGTTGAGGCTGCATCACTGTGGATTTCTGACTTGCTGCTTTCTTCCCCTCACATTGCTCCTGATCGTGTCACCTCTTACTGTACTGAAAAAGCAGTCTACAGCAAAATTCCACTTGAGTTTATCCTTCCTCATTCCAATGGCAAGAGGGAATTTTATTTTTCTAGGTCATCTTTCCATATCGTTAATGAATTAAAGCAGCATTTTCTCAGTGGTACTTCCCATACCATTACAAGAAGCAATTTTCATCTTCTCTGAAGACAAATGATAAAATATAAGTGTTGCAAAGGTTCTGCTGCTTATGAAACACTCAGATCTTGGCTATTGCACAGTGTAAATTAAAGGCAGATTTAGCAGAAGGGGGATGAGAAAAGTTTGTTGATTTTTTTGAGCATATATCAAAATGCATTTGAGTGATAAGATAAACAGAGCAGGCTGAGCAGCTGTTCTTCCACAGTGACTAGCTGTCTTTGTGGCTCACACGAGGAAGAGCTTGGCCTGATCTAGCACTGGCTTATGCTCAGTCTCTGCAGCTGCAGCATTTTATCCCAAAATTGAGATAAGACTCTAAAAATGTATTTTAATTGTTAGAGTTAGTGCTGGAAGAAGATACCCCTCATCTTAGTTCAAAGCTTTAGGACAGTTTTAAAGACTTAAGAGATTAAGACCAGTCCTTTAGAGTATTTTTTCCTCCCAATAAATGTTAAGCTTTCATGTTTTAACACTAAATAAAGCAGCTTTTAAGCAAACAAACTTCCCCTCATTTAACTGGGAAGACAAATGAAAGTATTAACTTGATAATGTTCTTTCTTCAGCAACTGAAATTATGTATTAATATAATGAAAAAAAATGACAGGAGGATGATACATTATGAGTAAAAATGAACCTCCATTGAACAAGACAACCTCTCCTAGGTTACTCCACATAACTTCTGTCCCCTGCATTCAGGAAACGTTCATTCAGATTGAAAGAGGTATAAAAAGGGTAATCAGGGACGGAAAGTAGCAATCTTGTAAGAGAAGACTTTAAAAAGTCTGATTGGGTCAATCCAGGCTGCGAGGGGACAAAAATGGTTTCTCACAATATGTGTTGTAACAGCTGGGCTGATTTGTGCAAGAAGAAATGCATAAAGCACATAAAAGCACATTTAATGTAAATTGGAAAGAGCATTTCTACACCACAAATCAAATTTCCCACCTTAACAGTGAGTTCTGGAAATCCTTTAAAGAGGCATAGTTAGGACAGACAGGCTACTAGCTCTAAGATATGCTGTCATAAATTTGGCTGAGACTGTATGTAGCAGTTGCCTGTGCTACGAAGGTACAAGAGTATGTAGCCTTTGCTTCAGTATCTTCCATTATCATCATTACACTTACATTCTGCCCATTTTGGTTTATATTATAATATTTAGTAAACAACAAATGCTATATCTAGTTATGTGTCCTAGAAATCTTACTTCTAACAGACTAAAATTAAATTGAAAGAAACACCTGATTATGAGAAAATGCACAAGTATAAAGTTGAATTCTTGCAAAGCCAATGTTGTATATTCTGTTTACAACAGTGGAAACAGATACAGATTTTACTGGTTGTACCATTGGTATTATGGGATTGTTTTGCACACTCTTTGTCACATCTCAACCAAATCAGAACATGTCAGTCACTTCGAGTTTGCATGTTTCACAGCTCAGCTCTCTGCCCTCACAGCAGGAAGACATATATATAAATCCTGGAATGTCAAAGTGTGAGCAAGGTGGAAGGGACTTGTAAGGTTACCTTTTTCTCCTCTTTTCCCCACAGAAAAATTAGACAGAATTTTGTTACAGAAAAGCCAAATGGCCACAAAAGATTGTCTTTAAAAACAAGTCACCCTCCACAGCTGAAGTAGCTGCAGGGAAGGGAGACAATGAATAATTCTAGTACTTGTTTCATGGCCATGCCTGTAGTTAAGAACATCCAGAAGTGCTGCTGTGGAGGTCTGCTCCTAGTTGCAGCTAGACCAGAGGTTATCTGTGAACCTCAGCCCCCTCCGTCTATTGTATGAACATTTTACAGTAAACAAGACATGTAAGTCATTCACAAATGAATGTGTGAAAAATGATAGGGGTGCCCAAGAGAGAAATGACATCTAATGCATAGTTGGGTGGTGGTGGTGGTTATGCTTTGCTATGTTTGTTTTTCAGAGTAAATATTGATTAGGACTGCTGGAATTAAAAGGTTTATCATACTCCAGTTACCAGAGGTAATCAGGTTTCTATTATTGCCTCTTTGCCCTTTCAGTTTATTCACATCTTTAGAGAATTACTTTTGTCCGGATTTTCATGGCAGTGACTGCCTGCAGTAAATCAGAATTCATAGAAAGATATCGTAACGAAAGCATAGACTTGTCTTTTTTCCTTTGTGTTTTTATTGCAGGAAGCTACTTTTCCTTTCCAAACACTGTTACTTTCCTCAAACAACAGCTTGCACAAATACAAAGTGACAACTCCTACTCACGGAAACATTTTGCTAATGCATTCCAGCAAACTGGGGGTTATGATTTCAGAGCTTTCGGCATCTCTCTGTGCTTTTGTAGGAATTTCCTTTTTTACATCTATTTAAATAGTCTCAGACACTGAGCAGTATATTAAAATCAGTATGATAACAAGGAAAATATTTTGCCATTTGTATATTTTCTTCAATGATATTACTTTTTCCCTTACAAAATGATGTGCCATAAAAAGTACTCCCTCACTCACTTGAAGGCAGCTTAATTTCTTATGACATATTAGTGAATGTGGCACCATATGGTGAAATGCAAAATGTTACAAGAAGGCTGATAGAATATGAAGAGAAACATGTTTAGGTGTGTCACTGTTTAAAAATGCAGACATCTTATGATGTGTGCATTGTGATAATGAGGAAATTTATAATCAGATAATATTGCCTCAGTTAATGGAAACAAAAAGCAGATGGTTTAAGAGAGGTTTAAAAATCAAGGGTTAAAACTTGAAAGACGTCAAGTTCATTTTAAAATGAAAACGTAACAAACAGCCTTATACCATTCCACTCAATTCCATACCATTCCATACCACTCCACATACATATATATTTATATCTCAATTACACAGGTATGCATTATTATATGAACTGCAATTATGTGATTGTTATATGGGCACGCAAGGAACATAGGCAGATGTCTCCCAGAGAGGAAATGGGATTCTCTGTTCTTGAATGCAGGAGCTTTGATTTTCAGGTGTGCTTCTGGTAAGATCTTTTCTACCCACCTTGTAGAAACAAGAAATTGCTTACATATGAGGTGGGACATAACTGCATTAATGCAGTGTGCAAAAGAAGGAGCAGTTTCTCAGTTGGAGCTTGTCCACTGGGATGTTTTAGAGTTCAACCCAACATTCCAATCTCTTGTAAGCCTAAAGTGGTCATCTAATTACTGTCAATATACAGTGAGAGCTGGAGCAATTCCGAAGGATACTTATATAGCATTTATTTACAGTGAGTGAAGAGCCTTTCTTGCTCTTACATTTTGGCTTATGGTTACTCTTACTGTTTATAAATGGCTTTCTATTCCAGAAGGTCTGGAAGGAAAATTTTAGATACCATGAGTGCACAACAGTCTTCAGAGATTTTACTAATAAGCTGCATGGGATGTTTCTCCTGTCTTGCATCTGAGTGTACAATGCTTCCTATGTGAGCTTTCTGTCCCTTTTCTTCAGAAAAAGAGAACATTTTTAATTCTGGGGAAGCAAACTTTGCAGTAACTCTAGCATTTATACATGCCCCTGTCTTCATCCTCCCTCAAGCAAAAGCATTACACAGCAAGTGACTACACATGCAGACCAGCAGTGCTCAGATGGTTAGTGTAAAATGTACCCTGCCTGAAGAAGTTTAGCTACAATTCCTTCTATTCCCCAGAAACAAAAATAATTCCACGTGTGCTCTTCTTGTTTGCAGCTCAGCCACACTGCCTATTACTTTCAAGTGCTTGTTGGAGAATAACCATGTGGACAGGAGGATCGCGAGGTTCGTGCTGCCTGTGGGAGCCACCATCAACATGGATGGGACGGCGTTATATGAGGCAGTGGCTGCCATCTTCATTGCACAAGTAAACAACTATGAGCTGGACTTTGGGCAGATTATTACTATAAGGTATAAACCTCAAATTCGATGTGCTGTTGAGTCTGACACTCTTAATGATCCTTGTGTGTAGCAATGCTCAGAATGAAACTTATCGAAGGATGCATTCCTTGTAGGATGGTTATTTTTGAGTAACGTGGAGATCAGGGACTGTACAAGAGAAATTGTGATGGTACTGTTCAGTAGAAGCATGCGGACACCAGGAAATGTGTTTCTGTTTGAGGATAACTGCCTCAGATTGTTTTCTAGGATTGGAACACTTTAATATTATTATTTGGCTTAAAAAACTATTTTAAATGTCAGAATTGTTTTCAGTTCCTGGTTTTCATCTTTATATGAGAGGAAAAGATCAAAAATATGCCACCCCTGTATCAGATAAGTCCTGTGTGCAAGTTCTGTATCAGATAAGAGGGAATAGTGTGTGCTAGGAAGCTCTTTGTCAAACCTTGGAGGAGTAGGGGAACAGGGAAGGAGGACAGATGCATCAGGGCAGGTTTTCATGAAGATTTATATCACTCATATATTTCTGAAATGTCTCCTCTGCTGCTTGTTAAAGCAGAAAACTTCCTAAACAACCATGCTGTCAGAGGGTAGAGAATGCTATAGCTGCATACTCCATCCTTGAAAGGTCTGTAATGGATCCAAAAGACTAGAAGATCCAGCTGAAGAGTTACTGCCAGAATAACTCTAGTGGCTGCCAAAGAACACCTCAGGGACTGAAACCTGCAGGTTTCCAGCAGGGAATGATTAGAAAAACATTCCTCATAGTCAGAGTCTTGTGCAACATGTTTGAGATCTGCTGCCCTACCCACCCAGTGACCTCGTCACTGCCCTGTTTACACTGCTGGGCCTTGCCACCTTCTGCTGGCCTTGAAAACCTTCATGACAAGAAGAGAGTCCTGAAACTAACCCCAGAGGACAGCTGAGGTTTGCTAAACTGCGTCTGTCAAGAGCTGGTTAGACTTGGAGCAGAAGGAATACACTGTGCCCATGTGAGCTCTTGCTTCAGGCTCACTCTCTGAAAGTTACTGGTATGACAGTGTGCTAAACTTCAGTATTTCATGATTTTGAATTTGGAGATGTTTTTAGTGGCCCAGAGCATGGGTAGACATGACATACACCTTGAAGTAGAGAGAATGGTGATTTGAAATATGAAGGAGAAAGAGGGCCCTAGTAAATGGAGAGAAGGTGAGTTCTAGCTTTCTTTTAGCAAAACCCCATTTCATCTCTTTATTTTCAGCCCCATGTTAAGTGCTAGTAATAAGGACCAGACAGAGGTAAAGACAGTAGAAGGAAAATACAAATGAAGACTGGAAAATCCAAGAAAGGAAAGGAAAAAGACTCACTTACAAAAAGGGGTTAAAAAGGAAGTCACTGTGGATTCAGTACCTTGACTATCTGAAGCCAAATTATAACTGTATTCTATGGACTAAATGTACCCAGATATTGATAATTTAGGACCTGGATATTTAAAATTCAAATATGCCTGAGTGCCAGGATATTTTTTGCCAGAAGAGAAAAAAAAAGTATTACTAAAATAATCAGTCTATTTTGTTCATAGTTTGTAAAATCCAGGTTGACAGTTTCTATCAATGTGATTATGCAAACCTAGATGTAGCAGGAAAAGAGAATAAAGACCCTATTCCTAGTACTAGAGCATACTATAGGAAGATACATCTACATTAAGGTCAACATCTAATGGAATAGCAGGTGAGCTTGCCTGTGCATCTTAGTTAAACATTTCTAGTTTCGCTCCCATTTAAGTCATGAGCCCATTCTACCCTATCTACCCTCTGCCTGCTACAATGCTATTAGGATGCTCTGTGAGCTGACTTTTCAAAATGTAGTTTTAAATCTTTCTCATTTCCCCTCACACCCACAGGCAAGTGTAGTTTTTATTGCAGGAAAGGGCTCTAGTTATAAATACTGATTCTGCTCTACTGGTACACTGCGCAGCTGTGAGTAAGAGAGTGGATATCTCTGTGTCTCAGTTTCCATATGGGCAAATACTGTTACCCTCATTTTCCATCACAGGAGATTGAGACGTGCATGGACTGTCAGTGTATATGCTTTATGCCATTATTTTACAGTTGTCAACATTTGGGTTTTGTCTTCCTGGATGGCCTAGCTCTTGGAAGTAGCCAGATGGGCAGAAATGAATATATCCAGTTACTTTTCCTCTTGGAAAAGGAATAAAATCCCTCCCCTAAAAATAACATTATAAAAAAAAATGTTAATCCTGCCAGGTCCACTCTTGCCCTTGTCTCCCATTCATTTCTGCTTGCCTGGATGAAAAAAATGGTGTGAAGGTCAAGCAAAAATACTTTCCAGAAACTGAAGAGGTATGGTCACATTCACGCTTGCTTCACAGTTAGATCCAAGTATGCAAAGCCATGTGCTATGCAAGGACTTCACCCTTGGCCAAGCCTCTTTACCCTTGGCCTGGCCTGGTGATGGATTGATATTAAAGGCTCTGGCTGCAGCCAGCTGTGGATTTGCCTGGCACAGGCACTGCTGCTGATGACTCAGTGACATCTGCTGGGAGCTCTGCAGCCAAGGGGGAAGCAGCAATGAGGAGTGCTGGCAGATTCATGGCACACAGTGCTGCGTGGTGCCATGACCCACAAGAAGATGACATAACTCAGAGAAGCCCACAGCCTGGCTGCCCCACTCTCTCTGCACTTGTGATATTAGGAAACGATAGAACTGCCCCAACAGTGCAAAGATAGAGGGTGAGAATTTAGCCCTGGGCAGACAATTTGGCCTATTTTTGCTCTCTGACCTGGCTTCTGTCCATAAAGCACCAGCAGTTCTGTGCAGTGGCTTGTGTAATAAGGATGATGGTTAACAAAAGCTCCTGTAGAAACATGGTGTGGTTTCTTGCAGAGTAACCCATCACTGGTAAAGCTTATTTCTTCCTTTCTATAAGTATCACGGCAACAGCTGCCAGCATAGGTGCTGCAGGGATCCCACAAGCTGGCCTGGTGACGATGGTCATTGTTCTGACCTCAGTTGGGCTCCCAACAGATGACATCACGCTGATCATTGCTGTCGACTGGGCACTGTAAGTAACATTCAGCTTTTGAAGTTTCCAGTGTGGCAACATTGTTAAAAAGGCAAACGGTCTCCAGGGGTATAGCAATACAGATAAAAGGCATGGGAAGTAATTATTTTGCTTGAAATGCTGATAATGTGGCCTCAGATTAAATACTCTGCTGAAATGGTCTTTATATTGAATAAAAGGCATAGGGAAGTAAGAGAGTCTAGATGAGACTTGAATTATGACCCACATTGAAAGACTGAAGAGTGGAGTTTGTTTAGTCTAAAACCAGAGCAGGCTGAAAAAGGTCACCACAGAAGCCTGTGGTACAGATAAGACTGTCCTGAATAGGACAGTAATCAATTGTTCTTCCCATTCACAGGGAGGGAAAATGAAGTAGAGCAAAGTAACTACCTTAATTCAGATCACAGGAAAACTTAAGAATTATTTCTGTCTAGAAGGATAGTCAGGCAGTGGAAGTTGCTGCACCTAGCTGGGATGGAGGATGATCTTCATGAGAAGTTTTAAGGTCAGGCCAGACAAATGTCTACCAGGTACAGCTCTGGTACCTTGCCTTGGAAAAGGACAAGGGACCGACAGTCCTAGGAAATGTGGTTTGCTTCTACTCTGCTTATGAACCCATTAACACTTCAAGGACATCTCAATGACACTTCAAGCACTCTGCAGAGGCATGAGCCAGGGCTACAGCAAGCAAGTACTCCTGCTTCACAGATAACACTCTGCCTGAAACAACTATGACAGTATGGTAATGGTTTGTGCTCTACATAGCTACTACCTCTGTAACTAGAACCATAATACAAACCTGAATGTAATATATGCAATGCACTGCATTAGGACTAATAACATATTTTTATTACAGATCCTGGCACAATTCTGCCCTTTCTGATTTCAGTGCTAAATAGGCAGCAGCAATTTGTAGCCCTCCTGCACAGAGCCATGTTTTGCAAGAGCAGCCCTTCTCTAGAGGTTACTCTGCTGTATCCTTAATCACTGAGAATTTAACAGCAGAGGCAGAAGCTAAAAGTTAACACACTCAGAGCAAAAGCAGTTTGTGCCACCCATGAGAAGAGACACTTTAAAAACTCATACAGAGCCATTTATTTGAACTCTTAAATTTTCTGTCAATGGCTATAAAGCAGTCAAACAATTCTGAAGAGTCTAGGAAGGTGAATTGCAAAATCCTGGTCCCTACTTCACTGGCATTTCAGTTAACTACAGAACTGGTGCATGCATCCACAAAGAAACAGCCCAAATTATTTCTTATTTAACCTATATATCTCCATTAATACACTGGAGTTTTGTCACATCAAGTTTCTGGGTAAAAGTGTGTTAGTCCATTCTGTTCCATATCCTATTTTAGTCAACTTTAAGCCAATGATTTTTTTGTTCCTGGAATTGTGAGAAGTTATTTACTTTCCCGTTCAGTGTAATAGGATATTATTATCAATGGGAGTCATGAGTGTAGTGTTGTATGCTTATTTTAAGACATATTTTATTTTAGGAATATCAGGAATATTCTTATGTGAAGGATAAATAATATCTGCTGTGGACACCTAAACTTTGGAATGGCAGTCACAGAACCATAGACTCACAGAATCATAGATGGTTTAGATTAGAAAGAACCTTAAAGTCGTCCAGTTCCAACCCCTTGCCATGGTCAGGGTTGCCTCACACTACTCACTGAAACTCAATAGTTAATGAAGCACAATAAAATAAAAGTATTTTAAGCGGTATTACAAAAGCCTTTTCCCCTCTATATTGCTCAGTTTTCTCCCAGCTCTTGCAAAATCAACATTTCATTGTTTTTCCAGTAAGGCTTCCAGCGTATATGGGAATTAGGGTTCTTTTTGTCTTACAAAACTTTTCAAAACAACAGACAAAACACTTTTTCAGGCTCTAGTTCCAGATGGTATTTAAAAGTGAGTGAGGAACAGACCCAATTTTCTGTCTTTTGCAGATGACCTTTCATGCAAAAAGTGTATTTCTGTATTTCGGCACTTGGTGGTTTCAAGAACCTGCAGATGCAAAGTGTCAACATGGTTGACAGGGTGAATATTTTCAGTATTAGTTTTGGAAGTACTGGAGTATGAAGAATGCTTAAAGAAGGCTGGTTAGATGATCTCATGAGACTGAAATACCATTACAATGCCTCACAGGTATTAATGCATTTAGGTAGCTGTAACATATATGTGAACTTCATACCTTCAGCTAGTATTTAGAGACATAAAGCAGAATATCAAAACGTTTCTCATCTAATTCAGTAAACACAAGGTAAACGTTTTGCATCTTTAATATCATCTAAAGCTAAAATTCCACTGCAACACCTGGCTCATGTGCAGTGAAAAAGCCACTAGCAGCATGTTGGCCTCTTGGTATAGAAATTACAGTGGTGTGCAGAGTGGTTCTACTCATATGTAGTACAGACTACTTCATACATACAGAAACATTGAATAGAGCTGGTCAAACAACGTGCCAGGCACTCCATTTGTTTCAGACTTACAGTGTGGTGCCCTGTTTCTGCAGAAAAATCCTATCTTTAAAAGAGATGCTAATCAGGGCTCACAAAGGACTGAAAACTCGAGTTCTGCTCATACAACTGCTCTACCACAGCTGACTCTTTGCACAATCCAAAATTAACGACTCAGAGTATCTTTCCAAGAATCAAAGTTTGATAATCAACCAAGGAAAAGGAAAAGTCCATGTGTAGCAGGAACGTCCATCAGTGTTTTTCCCCTCTATATTCTTGTGGGAATTTTCCTCCAGGCAAAACCCAAAATCAGAACAGCAGGAATTAGAAAAATGGATTCAGCAAACAAGTATAGGACTGTGTTGTGGAGCAAACAACCACATCCAGGTGTAGGCTGTGGAATATTACTACTGAAGTTACTTGCAATGGCATGGGCAATTTGAGTAACTGCACACACAAATAGCCTTTCATGAAGGAGCTTTCATGCTAATGAGGCAAAATAACTGCATCAACGTTTGCATGCACAGAGCAAATGCCTAAAGTATCTGAAAAAGAAGTTTCATATAGGATCAGAAATGTGGCAGTGTTGATATTGGACCATCACTGACTTTAATACGCCAAACATCTGGAGATTTCTGAACCTCTATTTTATAACCCACATTTATAAATTAAGTTACTAATGTGACACAGTTTTCAGATGTGTATGTTTTTCTTGGAAAAGACGTGCTATATTTCAGACTTAGAAGGTAGATAATGTATTTGAAAGCTCGTTAGTTTTAACTAATAGATTCCAAGCTGCTTCAAGTGTAACATTTGTCTATGACAGCCACTTTCTTTTGTGTATTTACAGGCTCGTTTTTAACAGACTTAATTTTTAGGCTGTGGGTAAAAGGTGTAAACAGGGAAGAAATGATCCCATCAATTAATAAATCAAAAATAGGGAAATTACATATATAAAGTACTGTCAAGCATATTAAATTGAAGTTGGAAAAGATGGTAACTGAAATGAAGAAGCTTTCAGAGCCACTGGTAGCCATAGCAACCACAGCTTTCTCAGAAACTAACATGATTTAAACATAGTCAGTGCCTGCTTAGTTTGTGAGTGGACTTATTTAGCAGTCTTCTGAATCCTTTTGATTGTATTCTGCACATTCTACCAATACAATATTCTTCTTAACTAGTGCTTCAGTTGCTGAGACTGGGACCTTGATAACTAATAGAAGGTACTGGTTGTACTGAATGCCCTCTACTTTTGTTGAATTAGGATATTTGCAAGCACCAGCCTCCAAATCGGGCCATAATACTGGACCTTAACACAAAACCTCAGCCATAAATGCAGTCTTGATCTGCTGTGTTAAACCTTTTTAGCACTGAATCAACTTGCACATATAGGGAGGCAGAGGTGCTCTGGTTAGCTCACTTACAAATTAAAGTACATGGCAGCACAGCACACTGAGCTCAGAAAAGGCTGGAAGACCCAACTGAGCAGCTCTGTAACTAGTGGCTGCCCTCTGCCAAACTCCTTACTACCAGTTCTAACCTTGTTAGCTCATAAAACTGGTGAAACTGGCCTTCAGCTGTAATTACTGCAGTGATGCAGGCTTAGGAATGTACCCAAAGAACCAACAACTTACCATTACTGTTTCATTTTCTAGTGACAGGTTTAGAACAATGATCAATGTCCTGGGAGATGCACTGGCTGCCGGGATCATGGCCCACATCTGCCGGAAGGAGTTTATGAAGGACGGTGATGAGGTAACAGCGCTATGAGCCGGGGTGCGCCAGTGTGTGCCATGTTAGGGCAAAGAACCTGCAAGCTCTCAGCCTCCCATGATTATTTCATCTAGTTTATAAAGGGTGTTTCAGAGAGAGGACAGAACTTGGCACCGTGCTGCTCAGCCAGATGTGGGGGAAGGGTCCTTTTGCATGAGGTCAGGCACAAAAGCCACTTGAGCTCAGAGCTTGCCAGCCAGCTGTGTCTGGCACCCAGGGCTGGGAGCAGAAGCAGCTGCACTGTCCTGGAAATGCACGAGAGGCTGGAACTTGAGTCCTGCACTCAGTGGCCAAGTCCTGACTGGCCAGTAAGTCATCCTGCTTCTGAAAATGTGACCAGCAACAGAGCAGAGTGACAAATAATCCTTGAGTGTTTGTGTGTCGGGGGAGGTGAAGTAACCCATGAGCGTGTATATGCATCATCAGTAAGCTCACAACAAAAGCAACAACCGTGGGTGTTTCAAGCCTCTGTGTTAGCATGATCTGAAGGCACCACTGCAATGATTTCTTCTCTGAACTAGCACAAGCACATTGTTCCATTCTAGACTTCATTTTCAGGCATCTTCATGCCTTCTACACTTAATACAACCCCCTCCTTACATCTTTGTTTTTCCTTTTCTATGTCTTGTTCCATACACCACACACATTCTGCCCCTGCCTCCCTCTAGTCCTATTTTTTTTTTCCTTCCTCCTTGGCATGCATCATTCAGTCTTTCCTTACACCAGGAACTCCTTCTCATGGTCTTCCTTCAAATCCTTGCCAAAGAAGATTCCTAATTCCACAAGCCCATAATGCTTGGAGGTACTAATCTCCAACCATGTCCGCTCATAGCATAACTACCTTTCTCCCACAAAGAGAGAAATGTTTCTTCACAAGGAGGGATTTTCACAAGACATGTTTCAGTTCTGTGCATCACTTCTAGTATTCTACAAAGAACAACAGGATTAATAACAAAGTTCTATTTCTGTTATTATTATTTCTCCTATTTTACAGACAGTCTTTCTGGTAAATCCCATTCTCATGCCTTCCTGCAACATGCATTTAAAATTCCTGCTCTTTCAAGCTTTATACAGAAAGACAGGCCTTATTCTCTGAGGTACTTAGCACCCGCAGTAATTACTGATGACAGGATTAGGCCTGAATATGTGGGCTACACACATAGCTAACTACAGAAAACAAACATCCAACCTAATGGTAAGGTATATTACAAAGCCAGAAGTGTAGTCTGAGTTCCTGCATAACACAGGCCTCCTGACATTTCATTGCTGTATTTAGAACTCACTCAGAACTCAAGAAGAGATGTTTCAAGAATATAAAATCCCTCCTAAGGGATTATTTAGTCATCTGCAATGAGATTTTTCTTTGCCTCATGCTCTATATTTGTATTAAAATATACAATTAGTCTGCCATATATTTTGGCTGCATAATATGTGGACTTAGTAATGTATACCCAAAGGCCACATTTTCTCAGCTGCAAGCCCACCTCGTTTCTCTGCCAGTATTTACGTCTTATTTTCCCCATCAGAACTTCTGGTTTGATTTAAAGAACACTTCAATATTTAACTTACGAAACAGTCAATAAAATCCCCTTTATTTCTTTTGAAACAGTGCAAACTGAAAAGACAGGTATTACTTTATTGGGTTAGAAGAAAGGGAGAAGGCAACAGCAAATGACTTACTGGTCTATGTAATTGCACTCAAGAGCAAGCTCTGCCCAAAGCTGAGCATACTGGTCATTGTGAGCCCATCTCTGTCAAACTTAGCCCTGAAATTCTGGTCTTTATCTACTGTACTTTTATTGCTTTACTGATGCAAGCAGTTATTACTATACGTTAAAATAGAGTTGTGATAGAATTTGCTATTTTAAATACCTAGAGACACCTTCACTTTACACAGATGGTGCAAACATGCTTTAGTGTATATGAGAAATAGGTCCTGAAAGCCTGTGGAGGCCCTAGATAATCCTTGTGAATGTAAAGCAGACCACAGGCTTTCAAAGTAAAAATTCCTTTCCTTTTGTATACAGCACACAGGGGCAGTATTCCAGATCTTAATGCTTTTCACATAGGTGCCACTGATCTGTGAAACTAAGCCTATTAACGTCCATCAGATTGTGGCTTACCAGAGAAATGGCTGTGTGAAGACCATGAATGCATCTCGTGGACCAGAAACAGTGAAGGCGTTCCAGCACCACATACCTGTACAAGTGGAGCAAGAAGAAAGTCCAGTGGAGAATCACACTAAGAAATCCAACAGTAAAGACCACTGCACTATTGAAATAAATGAACTAGAAACAAACGTGTAACTGCTACACTCAGGGGTATCTCATACCCCAGTGACCTGATAACCAGTCTCTACCTCACAGCTGGAAGAAGGACTTTTTGCCTTGAACAGGAAAATGGGGGAAAATGTGTGATTATCACCACTCTGCTTGTACTGGAGCAGGAGACCAGCTGTGACCATCAGGAAAGGCACACAGCTCGCACAAGACATGGGTTTCTTTAGGTGGAAGATTTCAATACTGAAAAACATAACTAATGGACAACTGCTGGTTTATTATGCACTCATTTGACTCCAATATAGTATTTGACACTCCCTTGGCTTATTTTTTTTAAAGTTTTTTTATTTGACCCTTTTTGTTTTCTAACCAAAGCCTTTTTTTTGTGTGACTCTCAGTAATTATGAACACTGTATTTATGTAGATACTTTGCTATGTGATTTATGTATTTTTTGCTATGTTTCACCATGACTACAGGTTTTGTCTAATATTTGCTAAATACAGAGTTTGTGCTTAGTTTTAGAACAGCAGGAAGAAAATCACACTGATTTCCTGATCTCAAGGGGTTACATGTATTACTAAATAACACTTCAAGCAGATGTGAAGCAGAGCATGCATTTTTGCAAGACAGCATGTTAAGGTAATTTGGATGGGCAGCCTTCAGAGAGAGGCATTCAGGTGTGATACATAACACACAGAATTCCTAGGTCACTACAGAGCACAGTTTGCCTTCCAAGTGCCAGATTTATTAACCTTTTTTTAACCTAACTTTTCAGTAGAGTCAGTACCATGCCCTTGCAGTGGCAGAGGCAGTGTGAGCCCTAATCCATAAGCACTGGTGCTAATGTGTCCTATCCTGTAATCTGTAGACTGTTCTACTGTAAATATGCATAAACACAAAGCTCAAGCTCATGAACCATATGCTTCCTCCTAAAAGCAGACTGGACACAAACTGGAACCTGATGATGCTGAAGTAGTATGGGGGTTTTGAGAGGAGATTGCTGTGGGAACTGACCTGGTCTTTTTTATGATTCGGTGGTTGATCTACATTGACAGTTACTCCCTTTCCACTGTCTACTGAATCTTTCAGTTACAATAAAATCTGCTGAGTATGTTTCCAATGTTTGTGATAGAGAACATTTTTAATAAACCTGCCATTTAAAAACAGGCTGCCTGTGCTTCTGCTATTAGTGTCTGCTTAGTTCTGTGCCAGAATGGAGAGTGGAAGTGAGGAGACCTTTTCAAGCGGTGGGATTCAATCCAGAGATGACATACTAGTTCATACCAGTACACTTGACTATATTTAGCTACTTGTGGTATATCAGTTTCAGATAACATGTGCCTTGTATTATAATACACTTCTCTCATCTGTAGAGTAAAAATAACCCAGTCAAAAAGGACAGTCTCTGCACTTACCAGAAGCAGAGGTGCTTCATGCACATGATTCATGGTTTTCCTCGGAAGTGGGTATTTACCTCTTTGAGGGCTGCTGTTCAGACTATTTCTTTTGCCATGCACTAATTAGTTGCCTCTGAGAGGTCTATACGGGTAGTTTAAATGTCAAATGATAAAGCCAAAAAGAACAAACATACATCTTATTTGCCTATAGTTTCTGAGAAATTATGTATTCAATAGAAAATACACACAGTTGGTAACTTTATTTGATCCTAGAGTGAAAACAATAAACACAGAACAAAAGAAAAGGGAAGAACTGGAATAATTCAGAATAATTTACTCCTGAACAGGTCCTGTAATGGATCTGTTCCATAGAGTGCCATTAAAACGGGTGATATGAGAGAGCTGAGGCTGGTCTGTGCCTCTGTGAATGCACAGAAGCATAACCTGACAAACACAGCATCTGATCCTTTCATCTCAGCAGCACTGACAGCTCCAGGAGGTCCTCTTCCTTCTTCCCCAGCTGTCCATTTCTCCCTGCACTTCCTCCTCTCCTCTCCCAGCTGTACAGACCCAGTTATTTATGAAACCAGATGAAGAATCAGATGAGAAGTACTTTTAATTCAAACCAGTTCACATATGTTTTCAGCACAGTCATAACAGGCAGTTGTGTCAACCCAAGTGAAGGGGTAACACAGGGACAAGAACAAGCAGCCAGGGATGGAACTGTGTAAGCACATGTGCCTTTGCCAGCAAAGAAAGTATAAAGTTTTAACTTCATACAGTCAGTTACTTCACGGTTAACTATGTGAAGTGATAGTAAAACCCTGTCAGTCATCACTTTACAATAACTTTGCATAGATAAAAATGATGAAGAAAGAGGCCAAGTACATCCAAGATTTGGAATTAGTAGTTCCAAACTAAATGGTTGTGGATAAGTCTGCCCACACACTGTGCCAAGGTGCCATGGTCTGCCAAGCACAAAGTTCTGCTAGCCTTAGCATCACCACCTTCTCCAGCCACCTATGACCTTTGGCTAACTACAAAGTGTAAATCCTTTTGTCTGCTTCTCTGAGACAGCTTACATAGTCTGACACTCTTCAGATTAGTCATGTCTCAAAAGGTCTAAGCCAACCCCAGTAATAAAAAGCTGTGACTTCTACAAGGAGAACTTCAGATGAGATAAAGCATCAAAGGCCAGAAGAAGCAGCCAGCTGTGCCACACAAGACCTGCACAACAAAGAAAACCACGAGTGTGCCCTTTACACTCTGGCAAGTAGGGAACATGTGTGAGGGCAAATCTTTATGGAATCAACAGGCTGTTGTAAAATTAGCCTTCTGCATTCAAACCTTATTCAAAGAATGTCCAGTTTTGCTTTGCAAATTTGAAATGCAATTGTTTGGGGAGTTTTACATTCTACTGTTCACGTCTTTAAACCTGGGGGTTTATACTAATATGTGTCTCCCACTCAGCTGGGAGAAAGGCAATGGTCCAGTTTATCACCAGATAACTTTATTCTCTGTGGTATAAATACTGCTAACTGTAGGCCTAGAGCACTTTAGTGCTTTGCTCTGGTAAATACACATTGCTTAGTGAAGTGTGACCTTGACTGGAGCATCTGCCCGTTCCAACAGTCCTCCTGTACTGAACACAAGAGCCCACTGTTAACTGAGAAGAGGCAAACACAGAAGGTAAAATAATTTTGATGGTAAGTTTTCATTTATGTTAGCTATTTTTTGTGTCTCACAGTGTTCGTTGTCAAGCAGCTTGACACACAGAGCAATTAGGCTAGCAGAAGCTTCCATATGATAATTGCATGCATGGATCTGTTCATATTTTCCAGTTAGAATCACACTTCCTTCCAACAAAAATAATGAAGCTGTTGCTTATCAAGTTAGAGTGCAAGCTTTGTGTTGGTAAATATATTTCTCCTACTTTCAGAGCATAAAAACAAACATGTGACCTTTATAGTCTCAAAACGTTCATATGAAAAAGATCAGTCAATCAATCAATCACTAATTACAACAGTTTGCATGGAATAATCTCAAGTATATGTGGAAAGAACATATTTCATAACTGGCAACATTCAATCGTATTTTGAAGTTGCCTCCCCCTGCTAAAAAGAAAGGGAACTTAGCCAATAAAAGTATACTTAAGACACTAGAGGAGAATGTTGAGGAGGGAGAGAAGATGATTAGGAAGAGTGGTGCGTTGTATACAGCTATGGAAGAAATACATTGGGAAATAACTCAGCACATACTTGTCAGAGACAGAAGTTTTATGCTGATTATTTTGCAGCTGCATTGCTCTAGAGACACTACTGAGAAGAAAGAAGCCACTGCAGATTGTTGGGGTATAAAAGCATCCTTAAAGACATCTTAAAATCAGTTCTTGAGGATTCTGCCAATGTTAAGGAAGTTTTCAAGTAATGAATTGCTGTAATAAATCCATGTGCAATTAGAGCTGGGAGAAAAAGACACAACCAGAGCACTCACACATCCCACTAACTCCCAAGAACGTTTGATTGCCAGCCCAAATATGGAACCTTATGGAACTAATAGAGTTGCTCATATTCCCAACTAGTCTTAATTGATGCAGCTTAAATTACTTATTTGTAGCTAAGCTTTCTTTGTGCCACCTGAATATGTATTCCAACATACAAACGATGATCTAAACAATTAGATGAAATATTAAATTGTAGGCTCCCTCCATGCTATGCTGCCAATTGTGAAGCACTTAGAAAGTACAGTAACTCTGTGGCATCCCCATTTGATGAGCTCTTGCTTTCAATTCTACAACAAACATCAATTTCAGTTCGTTTTTAACAATAGAAAACTGATCCATAATATTTTCAAAGCAGACGGAAAGCTCCATCTTCAAGCCAGATGGATGATCTTGGAAGTGACCTCAGTCCTTTCTGTGCTTTCCATCAAAATGAGGTAACTACTTGCAGAAGGTGGTTGTGTGCAAGCTAAATATGTAACCTGGGAAATGAATTGAATTTGGAAAACTCAGGCTGCCTTTGATCTTGCCCACTGCTAAGTACTCCTGTGTCTGTGTCTCTACTGAACGACCAGGTGTGTTTTCACATCCAGACAGCTATCTTTCATTACAGTCACAGTGGCAGTGAGGAATTGATGCTGTTCCCCTCCAGGCACTAAGCTGGCTGGGATCAGAGTCTTCCAGCTCAGGACTAAATACAGCGAGGAGAGACAGCAGTGAGGTTTTCCTAGAGGGATGCTTACCGCTGCCTGTCTCGCAGTGGGGAGCACATCTTTTTGTGCTGGAAAATATCTGACTGTGCTGTATTTGGAAGAGAGGCTTCAGTATAGACAAATTTAATGCATCCATTCACTAAGGGATGAGCTACAAATTAAATGCATGTATTAAACTTCTCACTTTAGCCTATGATTTCACATACAGCTAAGGCAGCAATAGATGCTCAAAATTACATTCCTCACCAACTACTTTGGAGCACACTGATTGATACTTCTGGAATTTACAAGAGGGTTTGTCTCACAAAACCGCAAACAGATGAGACAATACAAACAGATGAGATCAATAGAACAGGAAGGGTGGTCACTGCTTCAACTCAGTTCATTATTCACTGCCTCAGACTTCTTATGTGATCTCATGGTCAAGTGACCACAAGAACTCAAGGTTTGCTTCTCATCTATAAACAGAGAAAAAACAGTTTTCTCATTCGCAGGGTGTTGCATGATAAGGATAAATCAGCTGGAGACTGAGACAGTTACATAAGACATATGATTACCTTGGATTAGCCACTTCTGTCTCTCTAGAAGTGCAGCTTCACTACTCACAATATTCACAGGAATTGCCAGGCTCCTGTTTGAAGTGACAAAACCTCAGATTCCATCATTTATCAAGTAGCAACAGTTGCATCTCCATAGCCTAGAAGATGATAGATGGGAACGGGTTTGGCACAGCTGAGACTTTGGCAGATTTGTGTCACAAGATAGTTTAGATATTTTACAGGCTGTCAAAGTAAAATCACAGCAATCTGTTACTGGGAGAGTGGTATTTTGGGGAATGAAGAAAGAAGGCTTCAGAAAGACAAGATGGTGAGTCTTCCATAAAATGAAGTGTTTAATCACTTCTTCTCCTGCAATAGAAATCAAACTTCCTTTTCATGCTGGCTCCAAGATGAGAAGGTACCAATAGCTGCAGATGTAGGGACGGAGCAAGCAATCCCTCATAGAGCTTCTGCTGGTGAACAGTCACTAAAGACAGATCTACAGGTATCCATGTCTGTGACTCACAGGTCATCCCTACACAGCTTATAATAAGCCATATTCTTATATTCTTGGCTATCTCTTCACTCACTGAAAACTATTGAAACAGACTATGCAGTTAATAGAGCTACTCTTTTCCTTCTCCTCTCTGTGATGTGATGAAAACTGATTTGTACTCCCTCAAAGACTTTTGGTGGTCATGCTGTTCTTCATTCCAAACTAGCATAGCACAATAAGTCCAGCACAAAAACAAGCAAATACTGTTCCTGAAGTGCTTTTAATTAAGTCATTACAGAACCCTAGACTTCTCATGCCACTAGGAATTAAAGATGTGCTCAGGGTAGATCACAGTTCTGTGTTTCAGGTTCCATCATAGGAGTTTTTCTTCTGCAAGGTACAGAGTTCTGCATCTGTTGCTTTAAAAGCAGTCATCTTTCATCACAAAGAGGTATCTGCACTTCATTTAGGAATGAAACATACACTTGTGTGTGTCTGCACACAACACAAGCTGAAAGTCAGGATCTGACCCACCGCATGAAACTTACTGTAGTTAATTCTTGCTTTTGAACTTTCCTAATAAAGATACAATAGCTTTAGCTTCCCCCCACCCTAAAGAAGGGTATTTTAATAAGATGGAAAAAGCAGGGGAAGCAAAACAAGAAGTGTTTTATGTTCACAGATCTCTCACATTACATCTGGTACAAATACTGTATGGGCTAAATGGCAAAACCAAAAGAAAAACAAGACTGACCTTGAGATGTTTCATTATGATTTCATTGCTTCTAGTGGTTTTATTGGGTTTTACCACTAGGCTATTAAAAACATGTGGAGATTAGACAGAACTAAGTCAAACCGAGTATTTTCAACCCTAATCTTCCATCTTCTTTTCCATTTAAATATTTTAAATAGTTCTTCTATATTTCATGACTCTCGTTGAAAACAAAGTGCAGCGATTTGGATAGTCTATATTTTATTTAGTTTATTCAGGAAATGTATGATCTTTGTTTTAGAATAAATCATTAAATCTTCTCAGGGTTTTTTAATAGAAAAAAGCATTTATCTGACATGAAATCATTCCTAACCAAGTATCTGGGGAAGGAGGAGTCTGGATGGACAGGATGTATCAGGCCAGCACTGCGGTTGGAGCTAGCTCCAGCAGAAAGCTCAGAAAGAAAGGCTCAAAGCTCTCTAATGGAGAGAATTTCCCCTGTGACTGCTCATTCTTAGTTGTTTTCTCACTGGTGCAGTGCACAGGACTGATGTACCGATCCAGACTGTTCTTTCTGAGCAAGTAATCTGCAGAGCAAATTTCACAAAAGGTCTTAGAGATTATTTGCACCCCAGATGTTTTGTTTATCTCCTCTCTGAAAGCAGGTGGGAACAATCTGGAAGACTCACTTCAGTGGTTCCTGCCTGGTTTGGCATTGGAAGATTCACTTCGGGTTTTCCTACCTGCTTTACAGAGAGAGAAGGAACAATCAAAGTGAGCCTTCCAGTGCCAGATCTTTTAAGCTGTGAATGATGAAGGTGCCTCTCAGTGCAGCAACTCTCCTGTCTTCAGCACATCAAACCAAACCAAAACATCATTTTTATCAGCTTTGTTCCCAGCCCGAAAGTCAAAACACAGCACTGCACCAGCTACCAAGAAAGAGAAAAATGACTGCTACTGCTAAACCCAGGACAGTAGTGCTTTCAGTTTTATCCCACTACTGCATTTGAATTAAACAGACCCAAAACAGAGGTCCACCACAAAGAAGGGGAGATCTGGAGTACTATTTAAGTAATCAAAGTTAATTTAGTCCTGTGTAAAAGATATATCCTAAGTAAAGAGGTTTTAAAGCTAATTTCTTTGATGACTGAACAAACACACAAGTAATAAAAGCATGAGACTCATTCATTTCAAACTCATTCATTTCATTTCAGCAACTGGAGCTGAGAATACTGCAAATCAATCTCAGTTTTTATCATAAGCAATGTTCTCGGCAGTATCATAATCATATGCTAAAAACAGATTCTGGAACTACCATGGGGAAAACTTGAGATAGACTGTATAACTGCATTAAAACAGCCTTTGCCTGATTCAAAACCATTTGAAGAAGGACTTTATTGATGGACTGTTTAATGTTCTTGGATACTACTGAAGAATTTTTATGGAAACACTTTGTATACTGGATTATTAGAACACATTTATCATCCATCCTCCACATACATCTCACAGCTGGCTGATTTTACAATAGCACTATGAATCAGAGCTACAGGGCACACCAGTATTTTCCTCACTAAGTGAAATGGAGTTCTTTAGGGAATTTACTCACTGTTCTTATGTTAGCAACATAGTAAAGCAATTACAATGACCTTCATAAATTAATCCCATTAGACAAGGAAGTATCTTGAAAAAACAAGGCTAAATTCATATTAAACTCTGTATGTTTAAGCTTTTAGGACAACTGTTCTCAAACCCAAGAAGAAAGACTCACCAATACTACAGTATAGAATGAAATAAAATACTAGAATATTGGGCTGTATCATAGAAGCTTTCCAAGAAACTGCTTCCCATCAAAAATATTATTTGTGAAATATGTTTTTATTCTCATTACTTTTTTTCTAAGCAAAATATGTAAGAACGTTAGTGGGCCCAGTCAACATGGTGACAAAGAGCATCATAAACTAAACTCTACGAGACCTTAGAGCAGCATTCCAGTACCTAAAGATGCCTACAAAAAAACTTCAGAGGAACATTTTACAAGGGCATGTAGGGATAGGATGAGGGGGAATAACCACCAGGAACCACTGCGGAAGGGGAACAATCATGGTGCTTCAATCACAGCCCTCCTGCCTCCCCACTGTATGGGCCACTGAGGAGCAGAAGAAATGGCAGTTGGGTCCCAGGGTGGAGGACATTTCCTATTCTCATTCACTTTGTCAGTGCAGGTCCACAACCTCAGTCCTGCACATACCTGACTTCTGCTACTCCAGATCCTCAGCCTTTTCAGGCAGAAGTCCCCTCTATCCATCTTGCAAAGCAGCAGAAGGGGAGAGGGTTTGTACCACAGATGCCTTAAGAGCAGGCCTGCTGCCACCCCAGCTCTTCAGTGTCTGGAGGAGCTGGATGCTCCTTTCCCCAGCTGCCCTTTCAATGGACAATCATGTAAGATTTATGGGAGGGAGCTAAGAAAAACAAGTCTCCAAGTCCCCAGAGCAGTTATTCTTTTGTTCAGATGATCCAGTAAATCTTCAGCCCCCCCGGGCATGGCTGCCTGACCCAGGGCTGGCTGCGAGGAGGGCGGTTGGCAGCTCTCTGGGGAAGCAGCCCTGCAGAGATGCCGTGCTGCTGCCAGCAGTCTGCAGTTTTCGTTAGGAGCTGCCGCCGGTGCCCCAAGGGAACACTTTGCAGCCTCCCTCCTGCCCCACCACATCCCCCTTCAAATTGACTTCAAAGTTTTCCTTTGGAGTTCTTTTGTTTCTTTTTTAACTCATTTTTCCCTGGAAAAATATCTACTTACTGTATAAAGCACCTGTTTTTCATTAAACATAACACTTAAACCCCAAACACCACACCGTATGGTGTGGCAAGGCACACCACAATGGCGCTTGGCCTCCCCAGCCCCTCACCCTGTCTCCCTCCCTGGCAGCATGGCTGCTGGTGTTCCCCACAACTCACCCTTCCTGCCAGCCGAGGGCTGCTGGTCACCCACGAGGTCCTGTTGCTCCTTGAAGAGGGGCTCACAGGAAGCCATCTTAGAGGAGGGGTGGCCTCAGGCTTGCGCCAGGGCGCCATCTTGGAGGAGCGAACGGCCTTCTGCCACTTCCCTCTCCACAGAGAGCCACTTCTCTCCTCACAGCAGGCGGGATGGCGCCAGCTCCTTTGCGAGGCCTTTTTGCCCGTTTGGGACAGGTGTGAGGAACATGGGGAACACAAGGAAACAGGTCCCCCCACATCCAGTCTGACCCCAGTGCCTCAGTGCGAGCCCTGCAGCCCCTTCCCAGCACCAAAGGCAAGAAAAGGGGCAGTACCCCCTTGTGAGGAGATAAAGCCTCTGAGTAAAACACTACTACCCTTGGCCTTTACTCTGAGAAGCCCCCAAGTAACAAGCCAGTGGGGTAAAGCAGTGAGGGGAAGACACTGGGTGCCTCAGTGCTTGGGAGGGGATGGCCATGGGGGTGAAGAGCCTGAAGGAAGGGGTTGAGGGGAGAACGGCCTCTCCACACTGCAGACGCAGCCAGGCTATGTGCCCCCCATCTGAAATCAAAGCTCATTATCCAGGGGCTATTTCTGGTACCTGCTTGATAGCTCACGTGCTGCGTTTGTCCTCCTCTTGCTGTAAGAAATCATGTCCAATCTCAAAAAGAAACCCCATTCCCCCTGTCCCCCCAGTTTTTGCAGTATTCTATGTAATGAGGAAACCTGGCCTTTAAAACAGCAAATAAACCTCAGTTTGCATACTGACCACACATGGATGCAAAGCATGTGCAAATGCATGCTTGGGAATGAAGCTGCCAGTTGAATGTTTTAGACTTCACGTTTGCACTATCCATACATCTATCTAAGCCTGAAGAACTTTCTGTTCTGCATGAATCTAAGCAATTTACAGAATCAAGTTAATGAAAACAATGGTGGTGGTGTCTCGTTCTGCACCAACTTTGTGGCTTAAGGGGCCAACTTCTTAAGTTCCCTCATTTTCACTGAAGGCATTAATAAAGTTAGACCCTTCAGATTAGCCATAATAGTATGTGGGTTTAGTCCTGGGGACTTCTGATTATTCCTCATCATCTCTCTTGATAGTCCTCTGAAAGAAAGAAACTACCATTCTGCTTTGATAGCTTTATGTCCAATGTCATAGGTGATGACACCAGCTAAGTGAGGAACCAAGCCTGTGGTTCTCCCTCATCAATCCCTTAGCCAACAATCAGTAGATGCTCCTCTTGGGTTTTGAGGCTTTTACTGGAGAATGGAGGTATCTTGTTTTTCTTCTTCCCTCTCATTGAAACCATTCTCTCCTTTAAAGGACAGATCTGGTGTGCAATTAGCTTGAAATCAACTTG